CTGCCTCAGCCTCCCAAGGTGCTGGAATTACAGATGTGAGCCACTGTGCCCGGCCTAACTAATCTTACTGATCATTTAGCACATGACTCATGGGGCGCTAACTTACCAGGGACTTAGTTAATATTTTTTGAATGTTTATTCTGGCTACTTCTCTACTTTGCACAGTTGTTCTCTCTGCCTGACACCATGCCCAGTGTCACCTTAGGAGGGTGATCATTCCTGACTATTCTATTTAACACGGTTTTTGGTAACACTGACCCTTCCCTCACTCCTTTCTCCCTGTCATATTCTCCAAATTCATCAGCCAAATCCTCACTTATTTATTACCTGAATCCTCTCACTAGAACATGAGTTCCATGAGGAAGGGCCTTTGTTTTGTTCACCATTATCTATTTATTTATTTTAAGGTGGAGTCTCGCTCTGTCGTCAGGCTGGAGTGCAGTGGCACTATCTCGGCTCACTGCAACCTCTGCCTCCCAGGTTCAAGCAAGTTTCCTGCCTCCCGAATAGCTGGGACTACAGGCACATGCCACCACACCCAGCTAATTTTTGTATTTTTAGTAGAGATGGGGTTTCACCATGTTGGCTAGGATGGTCTCGATCTCCTGACCTTGTGATCTGCCCGCCTCAGCCTCCCAAAGTGCTAGGATTACAGGTGTGAGCCACCGTGCCTAGTCTTGTTTTGCTCACTATTATACCTCTAGTGCCTGGCATATGGTACAAGCTCATAAAAATATTCATTGAATTTAATGAATGACCTCTGTGAACATTCATCTTATTTTATAGAATTCTCTTAACAACCCACAGCTAAGCGAGGTAGGCATGTGAAGCCCATCACCAGATAAGAATATTTGAGGTTTGACACCGCATGTTCTCACTCATAGGTGGGTGTTGAACAATGAGAACACATGGACACAGGGAGGGGAGCATCACACACTGGGGTCTGTGGGGGGGAAATAGAGGAGGGGCAGCAGGGGTGGGGAGTTGGGGAGAGACAGTATGGGGAGAAATGCCAGATATAGGTGATGGGGAGGAAGGCAGCAAATCACACTGCCATGTGTGTACCTATGCAACAATCTTGCATGTTCTTCATGTGTACTCCAAAACCTAAAATGCAATAAAAAAATTAAAAAAAAAAGAATATTTGAGGTTTGAGAATAGGGTGAAGCATTTTGTTCAAGGTCATAAGCTTTTGTGTGGCAGAGCAGAGCACAGAACTCAGCTGTCCTGATCCCTATTCCAGGGCTCTCACACTACCCTCTACTGACGTGCAGCCATCCTTGAACTTCAGTTTCTCTGTCCCATCCTTATCCAGACCCACCCCTAAGAATGGAGGGGCCCAGGGCAAGAGTGCGTGTAGGGGCTCACCCAGCCCATTTCACATTTGGCATGCTGATCGATATTTCCATCAGCAAGTTACATGCCAAGCAAGCAAACTGTGAAATAAGTCTGCTCTACCTTAAAAAATACATGCCTTCAGAATGGTTAGGCTGGTTCACAGGCAGGATTCGCAGACTTCCTGCAGTTGTGAGCAGAACATTGCACAGCCAGGTTGCCATGTGAACATGAGGTGTGCTCGATTGCTCGATCCTCTCTTCCCACCCCTGGTCCTCTGTTTCATTCCTATAGGCTTCATGTGCACTTTTTTTTTTTTTTTGGAGACAGAGTCTTGCTCTGTCGCCCAGGTTGGAGTACAGTGGTGCGATCTTGGCTCACTGCAACCTCCACTTCCCAGGTTCAAGCGATTCTCCTGCCTCAGCCTCCTGAGTAGCTGGGATTACAGGTGTGCACCACCATGTCTGGCTAATTGTTGTATTTTTAGTAGAGACGGGGTTTCACCATGTTGGTCAGGTTGGTCTTGAACCCCTGACCTTGTGATCCATCCGCCTTAGCCTCCCAAAGTGCTGGGATTATGTGCACAAGCCACTGCACCTGGCCCATGTGCACATCTGTAGATACCCCTCCTGCGTAAGTCCTGCTCCTCCCCAGTAAACAGCTACCCCTTGGGACCAGACACACTCTTGATGCAGCCTTGGGAGAATGGATTTGAGGAAGTGGCCATATAGGCCTGAAGGTGAGCCTGGGGTGAAATAGGCAGGAGGCTGGGGTCCTGTGCACCTGAGCATGGGAAGATGGGCTGCTGGAAAGGGTGTTTCCTGGACTTCCCAGACTCTGTCCTGTGGAGAGAGGTGAAGTTGGAGGAGGCCCAGAGTGGGGCCCGCTTTGCCTAGGTGTAAGGATAGTTCTGAGCCTACCTCTCCTGGTCCCCAAACCAGACTGTAAGCCTCTTGAGGACCCAGGCTAATTACTCCCTCCTCTGGAGGGTGTGTGGTGTAACTGGAGATGACGATTTCAGTTGGAGTTGAGCCTGATGGAAATAAATGAACCTCTCTGGCTTGTTTCTTTATCTGTAGAACTGGATGAGATAATCTCTAAAATTGACTTTAAAATCTTGCACACACACACACACACATGTGTACACACTCCCCTACCTCCAAGGACCACTCATCCCCTCTGGGTCTGCAGAGGCACACCACCTACCAGCTGGACTGGGAGCCTGGGAGATGGTTTCCCAGACAGAGACAGACTGTCTTAAATCCTAACAGAAATAAAGTTTTGTTTTATGCCTTCAGGACTTGGAGACTAAGGTACCCTAGGGACCTCACTTTCCTAAGAGAGGTGGTGCCCACGAGTCATTCCTATTATCTCAAAGTTCCAATTTTTATTTTTACTTCCAACTGATGTCACTCTCTTAATGGCAGAGCAAACACTATTGTCTTTTTGTTGGCAGAGAATGGAGAGGGAGCCTCCTTTATTTTGTTTTGAGATGAAGTCTCGCTCTGTCGCCGAGGCTGGAGTGCAATGGTACTCCGCCTTCTGGGTTCAAGTGATCCTTCTGTCTCAGCCTCCCAAGTAGCTGAGATTACAGGTGTGTGCCACCACACTCGGCTAATTTTTTTTCTAATTTTAGTAGAGACAGGGTTCGCCATGTTGGCCAGGCTGGTCTTGAACTTCTGACCTCAGGTGATTCATCTGCCCTGGCCTCCCAAAGTGCTGGGATTACAGATGTGAGCCACTGCGCTGGCGATGCAGCCTCCTTTCTCTGATACCGAGAGGGGTCTAATGTAGATGGCAGCTTGCAGGAGGCTGAGGCTAAATCTGAAGACCAAACCTCTTCACTGGTGGAATGCATGCTCTGGCTCAAATCAACAAGTGTTTACTGAGGGCTTACGGGGGCCATGGGAAATTCTAAGCAGGACAGCACCAGACTCCAACTTCATATGCATTTATTGGGGGTGGGGTGGGGGATGTGTGTGCAAAGCATCAGTTCATAAAAGGTAAAACAACACAACAGGACAAGACCATTCAAGAGTTGCACAAAGGTGGTGGTTTGTGGTCAAATGTGCTGTTATCCAGAGTTCAGAGAATAAAGCGAAGTGTGTGAATAAGAGTTACCAGATCTATGGCCATGGTGTCCTGGGACCAGGCATATCTGGGCAGTCTCTCTTAGGTACTTACCTGCGTGTGCAGGTAGAACCCTCTTTGGGAGACAGGAGCAGTTGCTGTAATAAACAGAGGGGCTGTGTGATGGGAGGTCATCATAACATGTGAAAAAAAACAAGGAACATCAACAAAAGCGGTTAACCTTTATTCTCATTTTCCTTGAAACTACTAGGTTTCAGGTTTCAAGTACCTACCTGTAAGGACCAGGTGGGTACTTACAGGAGAATGCCCCCATCCTATGCTTAGGAGGAACTATTTGCCAAGGGCAAGCTGCCCAGATGGGTTGGAGCTGCAAGGCTGGGCAGCCCCTTCAAGGGCTGGGCCTGGCAGGGGAACCCGACTGAATAGCCACCAGGATCCCTCGGTCAGTGTCATGACTCACATTTTCCACTCTCTGCCATCGTTTTTTAGACAATAAGATAGTGCCCCACATACACATCGCTAATACCTGCTTGGTGAAAGAATGCCTGCGGATGCAATGATTCGAAATCCCTAATTCCTCCTCCCTAGACCCTGAAGCTGAAGCCACGGGGCGTCTTCAAAGTAACTTGCCTGGCACACAGTAGGTGCTTGACAAATATCAACGCTCTTTTCCCGTTCCTCCTTCCCCCAGGACTCCAACCTTCAAATGCTCTCTGGGCATCCTCTCCACCCCCCGGGAGTGCTACTTTCCCTGAAACAGCCTGTCGGTGCGGGAGTCTCCCCAGCTCCACGCCCACCTATTCGCTTCGGCAGCCGCCTGCTCAAGGCCTGCTGAGCGCGGGGTCCCGCGGGCCTCCCAGGCCCTGAGCCCAGGGTCGCTTCCCGAGGACCCGCAGAGGTGGCCGCACCTTCCGAAGGCAGGAAGGCGGGGGAGAGCTGCGTGCGCTCTGCTCGCCCCTGCCCTGCGCGCTGGGCTCTCGCGCGGGAGTCCGACTTGCCCGGCTTTGTTCCCTCCGCAGCCGGAGGCCGTCCTGAGAGCGCGGCGCCCCACACACCTGCTGCCCGCACGGAGTCGGCAGGAGAGGAGGAGCGAGGGCGGCGAGAGGCCCCCTCCCCGGGCTTGCCGGCCTACCTGCTCCGGCCGCCCAGGGCAACGCGCGGGGGCACCCGGGCGGCAGGACCCGGGGGTGGGTGCGGGTCGGGCGGCACCGCCCGGCCCAGGCCCCGCGCTCCTCGCGCCCCCTCCGGGAGGCGGGTCCTGGAGGAGGGCTGGACCCCGCCGCCCTCGCCTTCTCTGCCGCTCGGAGCCCCGCGCCCGCCGCCCCGGCAGCCCCGCAGTCAGGCAGCAGCAGGCGCCTGGCCGGCCGGGAGGGGGTGCTCGCCGCCCCGCGCCCGGGCCCGCGGCTCGGAGGCTCCGAGGCTCCGAAGGGGGCGGAGCGGCGAGGCGGGCGTGCGGCTGGCGCCCCTGTCCGCGGTTCCGGCCCGGCCCGCCCCCGCCTCGCCGGCCTCCCTCCGCGCCGGTGCGCGGCGCCCCGTCCCAGCCGCAGTCGCAGCGGCCGCCCCGCCCGGACCCGAGAGCTGCGGAGCCGCGAGCCCGGGCCGGGGCGCCGGCCGGGAATGCCGGGGGCGCGGCGCCGACGCCGAGGCGCGGCCATGGAGGGGAAGCCCCGCGCCGGGGTCGCGCTGGCCCCGGGGCCGAGCGGCCGAGGGCCTTCCGCCCGCCGCCGCCGCCGCCGCCGCCCGGGGCTGCTGCTCCCCGGCCTCTGGCTGCTGCTGCTGGCCCGGCCGGCCTCGTGCGCCCCAGGTAAGCCCCGCCGAGACCCTCGGGACGCGGCCGCGACCCCGCCTGCCTTTATCGCTGCTGTTTTCAAAACCCCGTCTTTCCCCGCCCATCCTCTTTTATTCTCCAGCTCCCTCGCTGTCCTTTCTGGAAGATGCTTTGCCATTCTTCTGGGGCCCAGCAAATACAGGCACGGGGGAAATAAATAATTAAACGGAGCAAGCGAGCGGCTTCTGGCCGGTCTTGCTAAGGGGTCTGCAAAGCTGTTCTCTTGTCCGTGGAGCCCGAAGGGGGTCTCAGAAATGTGCCTGGTTCTTCCTGCAGAATGCAGGCAACCGACTGCTGTTTTGTGCAAGGCTGTATGATGTGGCATGTCGAATGTTTTGAGATACTTTATTGTCGGGGCGATGGGGTGCCTTAACACAGTATTGCATTACTGGGACTAGCCCAGTGTCTCCCAGATGCGGGCAGGCCGGCCGTGGCCCCCAGTGTAGCAGGACACAAAGAACATTCAAAGAAAACCTCTTGGAAAGCGCCCTGGGCACGGATCTTTCCAGGGAAATAGCGATTGGTATTACTTCTGCAAGGCATTATTAGTACAATGGAGTGTGAAAATATTTTGATTCTTAAGTGTCAGGGCCTGAAAGGAGTAAGGGCTGTTTTTAACACAGATGCATTTTAGTGACTGTTCTTCAGTGTGGAGCGAAGAGGCATGATTTATGAAGAAGCATGAGGGTTTTGTTGTGGAAGAAATGATTGAATGCCTATTGCTTCTCCAACGTGTTTGTCTACCCTGAGCCCGTACCCGGGCTGGTCTGGAAACCACCTCTGAGCTGACACCGCAGGCCAGCGATTGTCCCAGCACGGGCACTTGACCACTTTGAGGTGGAAAAGGAGAGGTGGAAGGAGCAGCTCGGGGTGGAGAGCTGCTGCACACAGAACAAAAAACAGAAAGCTGGGAACGCTCCTCCGATCCTCCCTTCTCCTGGGAGCAGGGCCAAAGGGCTGTTCAGTGGCTGGCAGGAATTGGAACCCACTTGAAGGTGCTCCTTGGACCTGTGAGAATTATAACTATCACCTCTAGTGCCATAGAGGGGCTAGTTCAATAGAAGCACAGGGAGGATTTCAGGGATCGTGGAACGGGGCCACTCTGCTTACCAAAGAGGAAACTAAGGCAGAGAAGCGCCTTGCTCAAGGTCACCGTCATCACTTCCCCCTCCCACACCCCCGCTCCCCACCAGCTCTTGGCCCATAGACAAATCAAGATATCCACACCTGAAGTCTCCGCAGAGGTTCCCCATATCTGGATGGAACCGGGTTGGGGGTGACAGATGAGTCTCCTTTAGGCAGTATAGAGCTAGTGCAAACACCTTCCTCTAACCTGGCAACTCCCATCTCGATTTTGCTCCGGTGAGTTCCAGCCCTGTGTGTCCAGAGGAGATGAGATCATCATGAAGGGTTGCTTGGCTTTAGTCAACAAAGAGAGCCCATCTGATACTCGTGGATTCATCTGTCACAGGACACAGCAGATACATGGTTTCCACCTCCTGAATGCTTTCTGTGTGCCAGGTGTTGAATTTTATATAACGATGCCAATCATGTTGTGAGTCAGGCATAGTTATCCCCATTTTACAGATGAGGAAACTGAGGCATTGAGTTTAGGTTGGTCTGGCTTCAGACTCCATGACATGCTTCCCTTATGTGCCTGATGGCTTCCCCATATGAGTGTGGCCATCTGGGGTTACTGCAGAGGTGGAGGAGAATATAAATGCTTCTTCTGGTAACTTTAAAATGAATAGTGGAGCCGTTTGTACTGCCCATCCTTAACTTTCTCTTCTTTAGAAGTCCTTTCCTGTTTTCCTTCTATCCCCAATACAAATATTCAACCTGGAGACATGAAATTAATTATATTTCCATTCTAGAGCTGACATCATGGAAACAGAGACTTCATCCTTTCACTAATTTGTATATTGACTTCAGCTGCTGCCAGGCTCATAGACTAGGAACTAAGAAGTGGAGGGCATGGCCCTGTGCTCCAGGTTCCAGTTGGAAACAGAGCAGTGAAGGAAATACAAACCCTTGCCCAGAGCATTCCCAGGCAGGAAGGCAGGGTTCCTCATGGATGACCTGCTGAAGGTGGCCCCATCTGCTTCTTGAAGACTGCGAGGAACGATCTTGGTGGAGGGGCTTCCTGATGTAGCTAGGCTGTGTGTAGGCTCCTGGGCGGTGCTGTTGATCCCGGGACGAGGGTGCATTGCAGTTGCTTGGGCCACAACTCTTCTGTGTGCCTCTAGGACCCGTGTGCTCCCAGTCCTGAGTCTGATATTTTCACCAGGAGATTTGGAAGTTTGGGAGGCTTTGCCGAATACTGTCATGGTAGTTGGTTCTTTCTCTAAGGAATAAGCAGTGCTCGTCAGAAAATGGCATGGCTTAGCCCTGTTTTGGACTTCCTATGGGAGGCAGCATGCCCCTCTGTAGCTGTCTGAAAGCTATCTCCTCCTTCAGCCGGCTTCTCTTTTCTCGTTAGCTTTTGTTCAATAGAGCTCACTTTCTAGGTGGTCCCCTTATTGCAGTCTTTGGTTAAATCTCTATGTTGTATTGATTTCTTGTCTATTTCTATTTCATTCAGCATTTTGAATGTGCTTTAAAAAAAGATTTTACGAGTTTGGTCTTGACTGTTTACTGTTGTGGAAACAACTTGTCATACCTTGGATTTATTTTTGAATGCATTGCTCTTAAGTGATTATCCATCCACAGTATAAAAACAAAGAATCACGCCCCATTTCTTCACCTTATTCGGAGGTAAGTTTTAAAAAAAAATAACAGTTATTATGAAATAGATTGCTTTGTAGGGGATTTAGAAGTTACCGAAAGATACAGAAACCAGTCACCCAAAATCTCAGCCTCTAGATAACACTAGTTTTGTTCTCTTTTTGTTAACATTAAAAAAGAATTAAACTACAGCACAATTGTGTTTACCGTTTTCACTCTACATTTACCTTAAACATTTTTCCATTCATTAAATCTTACTTGGAAACAACTTTCTATCCTAATGATTCATTCTTTTATTTCCATTTTTTGGGCTGCTATAAGTAATGCTGATAAATAGTTGCATAGAAAAGGCCTTATGTATGTTTCTTTCTCTGTGTGTGTGTGGGTTTTCTTGAATATACATTTGTGGAAGGGGTATTAGAGTGTGATTAAAATGTAAGACCCACCAGGCTGGATTTCTGCATGTTTGTTCAAAATGCTGGGCACCTAGTAGGTATTCAGTATGTGATTGTTGAATGAAGCCACGTTTGAAAGTTATAATGCTGACATAAGCCCTTGAGGTTTATGCAGGGGTCTCCCATGATCACTTGCACTGTGTATTATTTCCCTTCATCACTGGCATTGAATGTTACTTTCAAAGCCCTTGTTAAATAAATTTGTAATACATTGTTTTGACTGCTTTAGACTTGAATATTTTTTATTTTGTATTTGTGTTCTGTGAATTTTCTCTGTGCTTTATTCATTTACCGGTTGTGGCATAGATAGGTATTTAAATCTTTATGGATTATAAAGATAGCAACCGTTTTTCTATTTGTTGTGTTTTCTTCCTTCCAGAGGAATTTCTTTTAAATTGTACATAATTCGAAAAGTTTTTGGTTATTTCGATTAGCAAGATCTGCCATTTGTTCTTTTAACAGTTTTTTATTGCATTCATGCTTATGATGTGTTACTTGCTTTTTTTTTTTTGATGTATTACATTTTTATCTTAATGCACTATTTTATTATTGGCCATTTCCAGGTGAATATTTATGCTTTGGGAGTGGTTTAGTATATTATAAACAAATATTTAAATGTTTGGAGAGTGTAGCCCCTCCCTAGCCCGCCTGCATCAACATCATTTGGGGATGTGGGGTGCTTGTTAAGAATTTAGATGCCTAAGGCTCACCCTTAACCTCTAAAGTAGGCTCTTTGGCGGCAGTGCCTAAAATCTTCATTTAACCAGTTCACAGCTCATTTTTAGGCACTGAGCATTGGAACCACTGATCCAGATACTGTAAAACCAGTAACTGAAAATCAACAGTATTTTGAAGATGTAGTAGTCCTTCCTTATCTGCAGGGGATGTGGTCCAGGACCCTCAGTGGGTGCCTGAAACTTTGGGTGGTATTGAACCTCATATATACCATAGTTTTTTCCTATATGTACCTGCCTGCAATAAAATTTAATTTAAAAATGAGGCACAGTAAGAGATTAATAACAATAATTAATAACAAAATAGAACAGTTCTAACAGTCTATGTTAACAAAACCTGAATATGCTGTATCTCAAAATACCGCAAAATATTTTCAGACCACCGTTGACCTCTGGTGTCCGAGACCTTGGATGAGGGGGGACTACTGTATACCATCTTGCAATTGTCTTTTCACTGTTAGAACAGTTGATTTTAAATAATTATGTTGAGGCCAGGTGCGGTGGCTCACACCTGTAATTCCAACCCTTGGGGAGGCTGAGGTACAGGGATCACCTGAGGTCAGGAGTTCGAGACCAGCCTGGCCAACATGGTGAAACTCTGTCTCTACTAAAAGTACAAAAATTAGCTGGGTGTGGTTGCGGGCACTTATAATTCCAGCTATTCGGGAGGCTGAGGCAGGAGAATCACTTGAACCTGGGAGGCAGAGGTTGCAGTGAGCTGAGATTACGCCACTGCACTCCAGCCTGGGTGACAGAGCGAGACCCTGTCTCAAAAAAGTAAGAAAAATAAAATGTCGAAACCATTTTTTGTTACATGTTTTTGCTTGGTTTTGTTTGGGTCGGGAGTGAAAGGGTGCAGAGGACTGCATTTTCAGTGCTCACTCCTGCCCATTTGGGAACAGCTGCTGCAGTCCCTGTCAGGAAGTGCCTCACTTAATCCTGAAAACAGAACCCAGCCAGGGACTTGTTAAAAGCCACTAGGGACCTGGGAGCCACAGGTTTTCTATCAGTGTTCTGAATGACAGAGGCAGCTAATTCCCGTTATTATAATGACACAAGGTTG